TATGGATGGGTCCGAAATGTTAGCTAATGACATGGGTAATCGCGTAACATGGGTGATTCGAAAAGTCCCATCATAGAAAAGAGTGAAAAAGTAAATTTCCACTTTATTGGTTAGTGAAAAAGTTATTTCTTGCATTAATTTTTCGCTACCTTAGTGAGTGGCGTCTTCTCTCATTAATATCAAGAACTTTTCTCTCATTCAATACCTAGCAGAGCTTTAGTGTGAAAAATTCTCTCACCCAATCTCGAAAAATGGCTTCAAACCAAGTCTCTCATTCTTTGTGAACAAAGCTGGCAAACATTAAGAGGGGGCCAAACTGGTATTGCCATCCACGTTCGAGCCGTTCGTGTCTATGAATTTGCTTCGTTTGGTAGGATTGGAGAATCCTTGGAGAGCATCTTCCATGACGATGAGGTTTCATTTCTTATTTGTAATTTGTATTAAAAAAATTAACTTCACAAACTTTTGTATTAAATTACACTGGCTTCGGTTGATCCGTTTAATTCGTATTATTATTTTTTACACTATAACACACACCCTGTAACACAAACCCTTATGACAAGTATTTTTTTATGTGTATCTTCGAAATTGTAACAGGATACTAGGATTCATTGGCAACTAAAGAAACCTTACAATCAGCGATATAAAACTCAAATTGTTGAGGAAGGTGTTTATGGGATTAGAAACCTTTTGATCCATGATAACTATCAAGCATTTATGGGATAAAAAAACCTTTCGAAATTAATTATCGTTTCTATTATTGAACTGTGGGAAATGAGATTTTAAAAAACTTTAAATACTTAGTTCAAATTTGCATTTTTTAAAGGTTTAATATATGATATTTTCTTATATTATTATAATTGATATAAGGCTTCTATGTCGGAATTAATTGTGGTTTCTATTATAGAACCGTGAGAAATGAGATTTTCAAAAACATTAAATACTTAGTTCAAATTTACATTTTTTAAAGGTTTAATATATGATATTTTCTTATATTATTATAATTGATATAAGGAGTGTATGTGTAACACTCGCCCTCCGTGGACCCGGTTCACCCGCGACCCAATGGACCGGTAGGGTTACATGGGCAGTCCGAGAACCGTCCGTTACAAAAACATTAATGATTATTTAATAAGAAAACGGTTACGTTTGATTAATGGGATATTAATGACTATTTATTATGAAAACGTTTGTTTTACTTGGTGAAATAAATGTTAGGAGTTATTCCCAAAAACGTGACTGATATAAACGCAGAGTAAAAGCGGAAGTAAATAAATGAGTAAAACGACAAAAGGTGGGTTTATGCCCAAATGATTAATTAATTTAATGTATTTAATTATTGAACTTGTCCATGCGCCGCCCATCTTCCCACCATCACTGTCCTCCAGGGTTGGCACCTATACCGTCCTGTCTACCTGCGTGTAGCAAAAACAACTACACGCTCAGCATAAGCTGAGGAGTGAATCTAACAAAAGAACATAAAGTGATAACTCATATGGCTATACACATATTAATACCTGTACTTTAACGTACGGAAAACCACATGTCTACTAACGGATTAATTTGCACTTGATGTGATATTTTTTACACATAACAAAAGGAATAACAACCACATTGAATGTTGATGTGACGTGGAACATACATGATGATGATGACCATATTGAATGTTGACGTGACATGAAACATACATGATGACAATATGACTTGATGCATGACTTATGATATTAGGGACACCCCTGACTTAGTCTCACTTGACAGGATCACCCCTGCACTCCGGTAATGCCCCGGGCTCGACAAAATGTCGCAAGTGAACTAGCAAAAACCGGGTGGTAGCCGTAGCCTGACTACCATGTACGTACACAAAGCCCACCTGATGAAAACCCGTTGGATCCCAAAGGTTCCTGGACGGGCCCACTGTAGTAGGCGCACGGAAGCCTGACCTCCCTACAGCGGTATGCACATGATGATAAACCTAGGACGTGCGTCTAGGATGGACATGATGAATACATGTGTCTAAATTGAACATGATGAATGCTTGATGTATTTACCTCTGGTCAACGCCAATAATATATCAAATAAATAACATACATAATGAGGATTAACATTTCATGCAACATACAAACAGATTCTGGGTCAAAATGGTCAACGGGGCTCGTTCTACAAACTGCTCGAAATACTGTCCGCGGAACGGTCGACCGTGCCCTACCGGCGGTCGACCGTGGGCTACACTATGGAGGTCTGGATGGCCGACGGTCCACCGTGGTCTTCCGTCGCGGCCGGCGGTCGACCGTCACGGTGGTGACCGTCGGACTGGCCATGGGAACGGTCCACCGTCCGTAGCGGCGGTCGACCGTCCTGATGAAAGTCTTCTGTCTTTGGCCCCGTTTTTATCCGTTTTGCAAACATAACACCTTGATTCTTTTTAGAACAATAATGTAAACATTGATAAACATATTCCTAGTGATTCCTAGGCCAATATTTATAAGTTTTACGTAGTGAACGTTTTGATGGCTAACCTACGAACATGTATAGATTCTACGTAGGTTGCGTACGATATTGCTATGAATATAACGACATAGATTATAACTAAATGTTCTAGAATTAGAGGGGACAACTACTCACCTCTAAATGATGTGTTGAAACTACGAATGGATGACGATGAACGAACAAATGAATGAACAGTTGAACGACGAACAATGTACGACTTCTCGTGTGAGCTTTGATCTCCTCTTCTACCTCCCCGTCTACTTGCCGGAAAACCTTCTGGAGCTGCTAAGGCCTGGCCGAACATGCAAGGGGAGAGGAAGAGATGGGTGTTATGGTTTGGGGAGGTTACACATGATGAGAGAAATGAAGGGGAAGAGAAGTTTTATAACCATGAGGAGTTATGGGAGTTTATGGAGAAATTATGATGGGATATGAATGGGGGGGGTTATGGGAGATGAAGAGTGTGGCGTGGGAGAGGATTGGATGGGGAGTTATCTCCCTAAAATTTACTCCGTTGTGTAAAACCTGAGCTGAACGGTATGCGGTTTTTCCCCGAACGAGTCCGAATTGAGATCCGTTTGTGTTTTTGGAACCAGACAGTCAAAATGCATTTAATGACATGCTCAAATAACTTTTCTAAGAACTTTATTTCCAAACTTCGAGATCCACCCCAATCATTAATTAATTTATTTAATTAATGTTGAGGGGTCCGTTATTAAAACATCTTTTACAATTAATGTACATTAGCTTTGAAAAGCCATCTAATGAGATCAAAAACCCAATATTTAGTATTTAAAACAATGAGTCTCAATAAAGAATTATTATTTATTTATTAAAAACTAGGCTGGTTTGTAGGGCGTTACAGTATGTCAGAAATAATTGTGGTTTCTATTATTGAACTGTGAGAAATGAGATTTTCAATAGTAGTAAAATTATTAAATAAAAATTATATATTTTAAAATTACATAAAAACTCCTACAAAATAAGAGGAGACATGAATATATTATTTTATCAAATAATTAACAAAAATAGATAAAAAAGTAATTAATATTTGACAATGAAAAAATATTTACACTATGTTTGTTAAGGAAGGAAGGGAATGTGTTTGAGGATTGTGTGTCCTCATGTAAATTATCGTGAGTATCTTGTTATGCTTTGTGCTCATTAAAATTAGAAAATAGTGAACTCATTTCTTGCAAAAATAAGTTGGTATTTTCGTGTGCCTAATAATTTTGAAGTTGCAATAAAGTAAAAACCAAAAAGCATCTTTTGGCTTCAATTTTTCTACTGCCTAATAACATTTCTTGCAAAAACAAATTGGCATCTTTTGTATGTAATAACATTGAAGTTGTAAAAAACAAAAAGGCATATCTTGTGCTTAATGACATTGAAGTTGTAAAAAAACCAAAAAACACATGTTGGCATCTCTTGTGCTTTATGACATTCTAAGTTGCAAAGAAGCATAAACTACACAAATGTTTTTGTCTTCAACTTCTCTCCACCAGCTTCACGCATTACATAGATGATATACGTCGTGCTCCTTTCTTGTTGTATAGTCGCTACAGTTTCAAAGTACATGTCTGCAATTTTACCCATATGTTCCCATAACTCAAAATTTGTGTCACAAGCTTCTTGGACAACAACTACATTTGGGAGAACCTGGTTAATACTCCGTATTTAATAGAGCTTTTTACACACCAACTATACTTTGAAGTGCCCCTCTCTTTTTGAGAAGTTGTTTATTTAATAGAGCCTATTTTTACTTTAATTATATTCTACTCGTATCTTTTAAATTAATATAAATAATTTATTTTCTTGTTCTATACTTTAATTTGTTGTTTTTTTGTTTTATTTTTTCCCGTCCAAACTTTTTTGTGTTAATTTTTTTCTTTTTTGTCTAGACTATTTTTTGTTTTTATTTACTTTTATGTTATATAAAACATAAACTAGCTTTATCTCTAAGAGAAAACTATATTTATATCATGTTGCTTCATATGACACATTATCAAAAAAGAGAAAGAAAACTTATTGTACAAATACCGTACTTTTACTTTTTTTTTTTATAATAAAACAACAAAATGATTTTATAAAAAGTAAAATAAAAAAACAAAAGGCATTACACACACCCAAACTAAAAAAAAGAAATTCGTGGGTTGCTTAGTTTCATTGTGTATGTGGTCACGGAATTCCCTCACCGTCACTCACGCACAACTCTCACAGGTAAGGGGGCGGTGTTCACCGATGAAGTGTCAATGCCACAGAGGATCACACCTCCCCTCTGAGGCATTAGTGCATTACAAACAGTCTAAGTGAGATCGTGCATGAGTATTGTCAATCTAAGGTGGTGCTAAGTGACTACTTACTTGAAGTGAGTAGAGCGTTACACATACCTTAAGCAAAGTAGAGAATATACAAAGAAGAAAGTGTGGATAGGAGATTCATGACGTACAAATTAATTACATTGTTGGTATACTTCAAAAAAAAAAAAATAACGTGACATTAATTAAGTTGCACAAAGAAAAAGAAGATAAAAAGGGAGCATAACCGGCCACCAGCCTTATCCAAACACCCACGTGTGTATATGTCTGTCCATCCATCCACCAGACCATAAAATCAAGAAACTTCCATTAACTCAATGCCCCCAAACAAAGAATAAAAAGAAACAGTAGATGACGAAGGAGATGGAGGCGGTTCACAGCTTCTTCTTCCTTCTTGCTCTGGGTTTCTTCTTCTTACTGTGGAGAGCTTTGGTTTGGGTTTGGTTTAAACCCAAGAGATTTGAGAGGATCCTGAAACAGCCAGGCCTTAAGGGCAACCCTTACAGAGTCCTCTCAGGGGACATGAAAGACCTTGCCACCATGACAAGTGATGCCACTTCTAAACCCATGAATCTCTCTGATGATTACATTGCCCCCAGAATCATCCCCATTTATCTTCATCTAATCAACACATATGGTACCCACTTCTACAAAAGAGTCAGATTGTGAAATGCCACAAAATGTTAATAGTTTTACTGATTTTGGCCAATGTAACTTTTGCTGGTTTTGAAACTGCATTTATGGCTGCAGGTAAGAATTGCTATGTGTGGATGGGTCCAAGTCCTATGGTGCTCATCACAGATCCTGGTTTGGTAAAGGAGATTCTCCATAAACATAATTTGTTTCAGAAGCCTCAAAGCAACCCACTGGCAAGGAAGTTAGCACTAGGAGTAGCCAGCCTGGAGAAAGATAAATGGGAAAAACACAGAAGGTTGATCAATCCTGCCTTCTACACTGAGAAGCTCAAGGTGTGTTTCTAGATATCACTTTAGCCACTCTAGATGTTCCTATATCATTGTGATTTTGTCTGGCAGGTTTTCTTTTTGAACACTAATAACTCTATTAGAATGTACTCCGTAATATCTGTTCATACATTCTCAACTTTTTGAAACATATAGAGTTACTACCCCTACTGGGGTTCGAACCTGTGACCCCACCCCTACATAACCATATTTTAGCACTCATTTGGTTGAGCTTGATGTATAGCATAGTTTGTAAGGCAGTAAGGCGAGGCGAGGCGCCAATATACATTCATACTGCCTAGGCGACTAGGCGGACGCCTAGGCCACCTATATATATAAATATATTTATACACACACACACACACATATATATATATATGGCACAACATACCACAATATTATAAATAATAAGGCACAACATATGAAACAAAAGTCCACACATAATCTGAAAAAGAAAGAAGGGTTCACAAACATTTAGAAGAAAGTGAGTCGGCAGATCTGGAATGGGAAGAGGCTCTTGATCGAGCCTAGAGATAATTTAAGTTAAATCTTCTTAAACTCTTTAAAATAGACTTGCAAAATACTTGGGCTGCACTAAAAGAAAATGGGATACANATATATATATATATGGCACAACATACCACAATATTATAAATAATAAGGCACAACATATGAAACAAAAGTCCACACATAATCTGAAAAAGAAAGAAGGGTTCACAAACATTTAGAAGAAAGTGAGTCGGCAGATCTGGAATGGGAAGAGGCTCTTGATCGAGCCTAGAGATAATTTAAGTTAAATCTTCTTAAACTCTTTAAAATAGACTTGCAAAATACTTGGGCTGCACTAAAAGAAAATGGGATACACTAAAAGGATGGGCTGCACTAAAAAAATAGGCTGCACTAAAAAAAATAGGGCTTTTCATAATTTTGAAGTGAGCCAAGGCGTCAAGGCGAGAAAGGCCACATAAGGCGAGGTAAGGCGACACCTAGGCGAGCGCCTGACCGCCTTAGGGTTTTCTGGGCGAGGCGAGCAACCAAGGCGAGCAAAACATAACGCCTTAGCGCCTAGGCGACGCCTTACTAACTATGATGTATAGCAAAGTTCTTTCTATCAACAGCTAATGCAGCCAGCTTTCTTGCTAAGCTGTGGTGAAATGGTTAAGAAATGGGAGGGGATGGTCTCACAAGGACAATCTTGCGAGCTTGACGTGTGGCCAGACCTTGAAGGCATGACCTCCGACGTGATCTCTCGGACAGCATTTGGGAGCAGTTATGGAGAAGGAAAGATGATTTTCGAACTCCAAAAAGAGCAAACCGTGCACTTTATGGAAGCTATACGCCAAGTTTACGTACCCGGGTGGAGGTAATATGTAAACTTCATTAATTACCATGTGTCAATGGGAAATGCATTCTCATAGACCAACATGCAATGCAAAAGTTCATTTCGTCCCATGCCATTGCTGATTTTTGCCAACCAAGAGGAACAAAAGAATGAACGCCATCGACAAAGAAGTGAGATCATTGATCCGGGACATCATAGAGAAGAGAAAGAAGGCAATGAAGGAAGGAAACGCTAGCAATGAAGACTTGTTGGGCATATTATTGAAATCCAACATGGAAGAAATCAGAAAACAGGGGAAAAAGGAGTTTGGGATGAGCATTGAAGATAATATCAAGGAGTGCAAATTGTTCTATTTTGCAGGACAGGAGACGACTTCTGTGTTGCTCGTCTGGACTATGGTCCTTCTAAGCAGATTTCAAGATTGGCAAGAATGAGCTAGACAAGAGGTGCTGAATGTGTTTGGTCGGGACGAGGACCCAGATTTCGAAAGACTAAACAACCTTAAAGTTGTAAGAGTTCTTGACAATCCCATGCATGATTTCTTCCTACTAGTAGACTCTGAGCTTCTTTAATTAATGAAGTAGAAGTTAGTCAATCAATGCAACTTTTGACGTTGAGCCTGAGGTCTCTTTGGAAACAGCCTCTCTACTTTCGAGTAAGAGAAAGGTCTGCGTCCACACACCCTCCCCAGGTCCTACTCTTGTGGGATTCAACTGGGTTGTTGTTGGTATAGTAGAATTTGACTCCTGACATTCATTCTCTTTTAAGGTGACAATGGTCATGTACGAGTCGCTAAGGCTATACCCGCCAGTAGCTGATGTGGCTAGGAGGACGGTGGAGGAGACGAAAGTGGGGGACATAGTTTTTCCTCCAGGGGTAATGTTGTCATTACCAATACTTCTTCTGCATCTTGACATCTTGACACTGAGATATGGGGTGAAGATGCAAAAGAGTTCAAACCAGGCAGGTTTAATGAAGGGGTAGTGGCAGCAACAAAAGGTAAAAACGCCTTCCTTCCATTCAGAGGGGGGCCTCGAATATGCATTGGCCAAAACTTTGCTTTGGCGGAAGCTAAAATGGCCATGGCAATGATCCTACAACGTTTCTATTTTCAGCTCTCTCCTTCTTACGCTCACGCTCCCATTTCAATGGTTACAACTCGACCTCAGAATGGCTTTCCCCTGATTCTGCAAAAGCCCTAACGTGCCACCTTTTTATTGCAAAAAAACTATTTTCGAGTATCCTCGATTTTTATTAATAATTCCTGATAGAATTTAGGATGGGTATGGACAACTGGATTGGGAAATAAGACACTTGAGATGAACCACATTAAAAGATTGAATTCAATCGTTTAGTTAGTTCAACTCTAGAGCTTATATACCGATTATTTTACTCATAGATTTTCGATGTGGGATGTACTCTAACACTTTCCCTCAAGTGGACAACCGGGCCATTTTGAATCTAACCGGTTGACCACTTGCAAATGAACTCTCATTCCCTTGAATTTTTTTTTTGAGCGCCAACACCTAAAGGACCACGAGCCGCTGGGTATGAACTTCCAGACGAGCAATCGTGTTAAACAGGCCACAGGCCGTTGGGTACAACCTCCATACGGACAACTGGGCTAAAGACTAACGGGCCGCTAAGAATGAACGTCTAGACGGACACCTTGACAAACGAGGTGGGCTAAAACTAGCTCTGATACCATGATAGAATTTAGGATGGGTATGGGCAACTGGATTGGGAAATAAGACACTTGAGATGAACCACATTAAAAGATTAAATTCAATCGATTAGTTAGTTCAACTCTAGAGCTTATATACCGATTATTTTACTCATAGATTTCCGATGTGGGATGTACTCTAACAATTCCCAAGTTCGAAATATACTCCGGGGTCCCATCGATTTTTTGGTAAGAACCATCAGGTCCCACATTTGTAATTTGTAATTTAACATTTAAAATTTCACCAACACATCATGCTAGTGGAGCCAACTAAACTCATCTATCAATTGGAACAGCGGACACAAAGAAGGAATAATCAACAGTTGAAAGCCAAAATTATAGTTCTATTTCAATTCTATATGTAAATTTCCTAGTTATATCAAACTAAGGATATATTTGGAAATGAATTAAAATTCAACTCTATTGGAATTAAATTAAAATTCAACTCTATCCAATTCAATTTCATAAAATTTTAATTTTAATTCTGCATATCAAATGAAACCTAAGCATAACTTGATCCTACTCTTGTGCGATTGAACAGGGTTGTTGTTGATGTAGTAGAATCTGACTCTTGAGCATAGTTTTCAGAACTGGTCGGATAGGTAGTTCAAGTGGTAAAACCCGTGTTTCACGCATATTTGAAAATTCAACACACACACACATATATATATTATATATATATATATATATATATATTATACACACACACATGAAAAATAATACTTCCTTTATCTATAAATAAATAATTTATGATGTATTACTAAATTTATAAGTAATTTAATTGTTCGAGTAATATCATTAAATTGAAACAAATGGCTATTTAAACAAATAAAACAATACGTAGTATAAAATAAGAGGTGATATTTTTTGTTTCATAATTAACACAATTTTTGTTTTAAAATAAATTTTTTTTACTTTAAAGTCAACTAAACTTGCATGGTCCAATTGATACGGGTGGATAATGGGTCAGGAGGATTGGGCAGGGTGGTATGAATTATTAATTTTATATAAGGAGCATTCACGGGCTTCACTGAAACAAGTATGAACAGCAAACATGAAACATTTATGGATCTGCATTCCCATTTGCACTAACAGACAAGAAAGTCAAGAAGATAAGGTGGGGGGTGGGTGGGCCACCATATGTCTGACTTTACCTGTGATCTAACGACGTTCTTGTCTGTCCTATCCACGGGTGCATAAAATCAAAAAGAGACATCCATAAATAAAGATTCTTAAACAAACTACTCCAACAGTAAGACTGATCGGAGTTGGGGAAGATGGAGGCGGTTCACAACCTCTTACCTGCACTTGGTTTCCTAGCATCCATCTTCTTCCTCTCATTATTATTGTGGGGAGTTTTGGATTGGGTTTGGCTTAAACCAAAGAGATTGGAAAGGATCCTCAAGCAGCAAGGCCTGAAGGGCAACCCTTACAGAGTCCTCTCAGGGGACATGAAAGATCTTGGGAGCATGATAAGGGACGCCACTTCTAAACCCATGGATCTCTCTGATGATTTCATTACCCCAAGAATCATTCCCCTGTTTCTTCATCTCATCAACAAATATGGTACCCACTTCTTGTTTTCATCTTTCTCTTGTTTTTCTGAATCCAAGTTTCATCCTAAAAGATCAACCTGTATCAGATAAGATCTGTTTTCTATGAGTCACTGTACAGTAAGTAAGAGCACAGAAACATGAAACCCCACAAACCAAGGACTAATAATACGCTATTAATGATTTTGGTCGGTCGTTTGATGCTTAGTTTGAGTAATTTCAACCATCCCAATGTGTCTTTTGCTGGTTTTGAAACTGCAATTATGGCAGGTAGGAATTGCTATGTGTGGATGGGTCCAAGGCCTATGGTGTTCATCACAGATCCTGATTTGGTAAAGGAGGTTCTCAATAAACATCATCTGTTTCAGAAGCCTCGAACCAACCCACTAGCAAGGAAGCTGGCACAAGGACTAGTGAGCATTGAGAAAGATAAATGGGCAAAACACAGAAGGTTGATCAATCCCGCCTTCTACACCGAGAAGCTCAAGGTCTTTTTCTGTCACTCTAGATGTCCCTTTATCACTCTGAGGTCGTATAGCGGTTAGCAGTTTGTAGGGTGGAATAAATCAAACTAATGACCAGAAGATATTGGGTCTTCTTCTTTTAATCTGAAAATAATAAGAGTAAAACCCGATCACTTTAAACCAATCCCGGCCTGGCATGATACGATGCAATCTCAAATATTCAACAGGAACATTTGAATCTTATTTTATTTTGATTAATTTGTGCAATTATGCTTGCTTGGAAAGATATTTACGGGTTTCAATTGTTTGGGAATTGTTACATGTTTTTTGTTCCAACAATGATGGATTCATAATGAGTAAAAGATACAAAAACCTATCCAGGTTCTTTTCAAAGAGTAAAAGATACAAAAACCTATCCAGGTTCTTTTCAACCTGGTTTTTACTTTATTTGGTAAAATTCTTCCTATCAACAGCTAATGCAACCAGCTTTCTTGCTAAGCTGTGGTGAAATGGTAAAAAAATGGGAGAGGGTTGTCTCACAAAGACGGTCTTGCGAGCTTGACGTGTGGCCAGACCTTCAAAACCTGACCTCCGATGTGATCTCTCGGACAGCATTTGGGAGCAGCTACGAAGAAGGAAGGATGATTTTTGAACTCCAAAAAGAGCAAACCGTGCACTTTATGGAAGTTGTACGCCAAGTTTATGTGCCCGGGTGGAGGTAAGTAAAGTTACAATGGTAATAGATATTTCCTTCTCATAACCAAAAAGTTCATTTCTTCCTGTTGAGGATATTATCCCTCCCACATCATAGTAATATATTTGCCAATTGGTTTTGGGTTGGAATCTTATAATTCTACATGACATCACAACTAAGGCTTAGAAGCTCAAAATAGAAGCTCAAATCTATAAGAATATTATCACACATCATGAACCCATCATGAACCCAGTCTAATAAAAGACTACTCGTATAATTCTACATGACATCACAGCTTAGAAGTTGCACTTGAGGGTGATGTTGGGGATATTATCACACATCATGAACCCAGTCTAATAAAAGACTACTCGTAATTCATAAGAATATGAGTTACTTATTGTATTGCCAATAAGTTTTGGGTTGGAATCTCATAGCTCTACCCTTCCCATGACAGATTTTTGCCTACTAAGAGAAACAAAACAATGAACGCCATCGACAAGGAAGTGAAATCATTGGTCCGAGATATTATAGACAAGAGAATGAAGGCAATGAAGGAAGGGAATGCGAACAACGAAGATTTGTTAGGCATATTATTGGAATCAAACATGGAAGAAATAAGAAAGCAGGGGAAAAAGGAGTTCGGAATGAGCATTGAAGATGTCATCGAGGAGTGCAAATTGTTCTATTTTGCAGGACAGGAGACGACTTCGGTCTTGCTCGTCTGGACTATGATTCTTCTAAGCAGATTTCAAGATTGGCAAGAACGAGCTAGACAAGAGGTGTTGCATGTTTTTGGCCAGGATGAGGAGCCAGATTTTGAAAGACTAAATAATCTTAAAGTTGTAAGTGTTCTTGATAGTATCATGATTTCAACAGCATTGCTCTTCCTTGTACAGTCTGACTCTTGGCATTCTCTTTTTGTGTTCTCTTTTCAGTTGACAATGATCTTATACGAGTCTCTGAGGCTATACCCGCCAGTAGCTGGTCTCATGAGGAGGACTGTGGAGGAGACAAGACTAGGAGATATAGTTTTTCCTCCAGGGGTAATGTTGTCATTACCAATACTTCTGCTACATCTTGACACTGAGATATGGGGTGAAGATGCAAAAGAGTTCAAACCGGATAGGTTCAGTGAAGGGATAATGGCGGCAACAAAAGGTAAAAACGCCTTCCTTCCATTTGGAGGGGGGCCTCGAATATGCATTGGCCAAAACTTTGCTTTAGTGGAGGCTAAAATGGCTATGGCAATGATTCTACAACGCTTCTCCTTTCATCTCTCTCCTTCTTACGCTCACGCTCCCATTTCAATGGTGACAACTCGACCTCAGCATGGCGCCCCTCTCATTATGCAAAAGCTCTAATATGTCAACCCTTTCAGTTTTCTTGCACCATGTATGACTTCACTGAAAATTTTGTATTGTATGTAATTTTATGAGCTACTAGGTTCTTCTAAACTGGCGGCCACACCAAACCCCACTCCCTCCGAACCACCATTCCCCCTGCATCACTCCATTCCCCCATTCCCCCTGGCCTTTCCTTCTTTTGGGTGACACCTTCAAGCTTTTGAAGGTGGATTA